CTCAGGAGAACAATAGTCTGAAGAAGAATAGCCAACTATTCGAAAGCGCTCGAGTTTTGGGTCTTATTTTAAGTCTAATTTGTCAGACGATGTTGATGAATATTGCTAATGATCCTAGAAATAACTTTTTGTTGTGTTTCGTGTGCCACCTGTTAACAATCACTATAATTAGATGATAGCAAGTTGTTACGAGAGCTAAACAGTCACCAAACATTGGACAATTCTTAAATCCTAAGTGCATTGGTCTTCATGAGGTAACTTAATTGGTTTTAAACTGATTGGGTAGTTCAGACTTTGAAGAGGTAACTTAATTGGTTTTAAACTGATTGGGTAGTTCAGTTTAAAAAACATATAACAAATTGAAAGTTATGTATATATCACTTAAGTGTATTTTAGTCTACTTTCCTTGTATGTATGACCTTAGTTGCCCACAGTTACATTTACCATCTCATGTGCAGTCAATTCTATTTTGTTCGCCGTTAGAAGACTTTAATTGGATGAACTTTAGTAAATAAGTTATTAAAAATGAATACACATATTCCTCTACTTAATGTTTTGAATTTTCTTTCTTGGTCAGATTTTGCTTATTTGTTTGTTTGTTTCTTCCTAGAATATAAGAAAGACATTTTCATTGTTTCGCAGCACATTGTTGTGGTTGTAATTGTTTTATTCCGAAATTGAACAACTTCATATTTCAAACCATTAATTTCTGATGGTCAAAATCCATCACCTTGCGAGATATTTATGGTTGTTATTCAAGGCTGACAACATACTTTCCATTACTCATTTTGTAAAAGGCTGAAAATCCCATGATTCCTAACAGGAAGCATACATTTGAAGGTTTGATAACTGTCATCTTGGCAGATGTATTGCATGATAACTGTCCCCTTTGGCAGATGTATTGCATGATAACTGTCCCCTTGGCAGATGTATTGCAAGATAACTGTCCCCTTGGCAGATGTATTGCAAGATAACTGTCCCCTTGGCAGATGTATTGCACGATAGCTGTCACTTTGGCAGATGTATTGCATGATAACTGTCACTTTGGCAGATATATTGCATAGATAACTGTCCCTTGGCAGATGTATTGCATGATAACTGTCCCCTTGGCAGATGAATTGCACGATTGTTACTCAGATATGCCAGGGTTCGTAGATTCACCTATAATCGTGGTTAAGGTTCGAATATATAAATATTCCCTCATTTAATTTTGTTTTCCTTATTTAGTTTTGTATATTTAATACTGAATATATTCTAATACAAATAAGGAAGAGAAAGAAAAAATTAAACTTGAAACAAGTCGACTTTTAAATTGTACATAAATGTTTTGATTTAAGTAATTTTGAATTTAATACGAACAGCTTTGTAAATTAAGAACAATTATGTAAATCTGTTTGTTTGTAGTTAAGCACAAAGCTAAACGATAGGCTGGCTATCTGTGCTCTGCCCACCACGGGTATCGAAACCTGGATTTTTAAGGCATAAGTCCGCAGACATACCACTGTGCCACTGGGGGACATCTAAATTTGATAGAAAAAAATAAGACTTTTTAAGTTAATAAATACATTGTACAAGTTCTAGGCCTCACGATGAAGTAATTCCTGTTCAGCTACAAGTCGTATAGTATAAATTGAGAATTATTTGATAAAGAATATGCCTTTGTATTTTTATTCTACCTCAAATGATACCAATATTTTATTTCAGTTCTTCATAATCCTTTTTATGATATTTATCACGATGCTTGTGGGTGGAATTCTGGGATACGTCTTCAGAAATGAGGTAAGACATTCCTTAAAACGTTTGTGTATTTTAGAAAAATAACAATTATTAACCATTTGGCTGAGTTCAAAACTTCAAACCATTGTCTGGTCAATATATAATGTATGTCATGTTTCTGTTGCCCTGTAAACACTAAGTGTTGGAATAAAATGTATTTTAAGCCATTTTTTACAGTCAGTATTAACATGTTAGTCTACATCGTTCCCCCCCCCCTACTATTAAACAAAACTTGCAAGGTTTTTCATTTTCTAAAAATAATATTAATACAGAAGCTAAGGTAGACAGAGAAAGACAAGAACTAAATATAGGAACCTCACAGTAAATGCTCCTGGCAAAAATAGCAACGTGTTTCCTCCCTCTTCGGAGATATTTACATTCTAATGAAAGGAAGGGAGAAAAATAGAAATAATCAGAGGAAAAGAAGAAAGTCAAACAAGTTTCAAATAGGAGTTGTAATATATTGTGGAAAATAAAGAAATAAATGGTTCAGTATTTGTTAGAATTGAATTATTAGCGGAATATGAGTAAACGTTTAATGTTAAAAGTTTGTTTGTGTGTTCTTGAATTTCGCGCAATCCTACACGAGGGATATCTGCGCTAACCGTCCCTAATTTAGCAGTGTAAGACTAGAGGGAAGGCAGCTAGTCATCACCACCCACCGCCAACTCTTGGGCTACTCTTTTACCAACGAACAGTGGGATTGACCGTCACAATATAACGCCCCCACGGCTGAAAGGGCGAGCATGTTTGGTGTGACGGGGATTCGAACCCATGACCCTCAGATTGCGAGTCAAGCGCCCAAACCACCTGGCCAAGCATTGTTTCGAAATTATCCTTATGCACACATCAAATGTCATAAAACATAAGAATTATATTACTTCGAAGATTTATCAACATCTTATACCTAATGTTAAAAGTAATAATAATAATACTTATAAGGTTTAATGCATCCATGTATCATATTATTAGTAAATTAATAGTAAACATAAGCATGACCAGGTATGAAATACCTACATAAACATTTTCTGTTCATTTACTATACAAATAATAATTTTATGAATACATTTGAACAATCGTAATTACATTAACATCTTTGTAAGCACACAAAAACTACACAAGGATTATCTGCGATAGCCATCCTTAATTTTGATTTTGAACTGATAGATTAGAGCTAAGGCAATCAGTCAACAACACGGTGACCAGTAATTTGACTCGTAGTATTTTCACACACCCCCATACATATCATTTCTTGTAAATTCACTCCCTGTAATAATTTATTACAGAGAGGGAATTTACAAGGAGTGAAATGCGTGGGGGAATGAAATTACTGGGAGTGAATTCTCCTACAACTATCAAATGTGACTTTCTTACTATTAAGATATCAAGTGTAACATTTCTTACGGTTAAGACATCAATTTGTATTTCTTTTTTCCACTATTAAAGTATTTAGAACTGAAATATCGTGTTATTCTGCTATTTTTACTTGCTACCATGAGCGTCCGCAGGATAGGGCAAGGGGGGGCATTTCTCCTCCTGTAATTTCAGAAGAAAATTTATTGGAATAATTTATTTCAAAAATGAAAATTAGAAAATAATACAATTTAAACATAAATGACGAAATTAGGTTAACGTAAGTAAACCATAATAAGCCAGAGCATCGCATTCAAACTTAAAGCAAATGGTCTACGCTCTGCGATGGCTTGCCCCCACCTGGAATAAATTCTGCGTACGCTCAGCCAGAGGCGTCGGAACCGGGGGTGGTGGGAGTGCTGTAGCACCCCCGCTTTTACATATTTGTCTTATATAGCAATTGTAAATTATATTATTATATTATCTGCATGTATAGCCAAGCCACCCCCAATTTTCAATTCCTTCCTACACCACTGCATGCTTGCTACCGCTAAGGGTACATCTGGATGTATAATATATCAGAACATAACCGTTTCGCTTCATTTACTGAATGATTATTTGTCCTCGTAGGTGGATGAACATATGCACAGTGAGATGTTGAAGACAGTCAAGCAGTACATGAACGATACACCAGTAACAGAAGCGTGGGACGCAGTACAGGAAAAGGTAAGTTAACATGTGTTCTAGATGGCTATTGATTTCTTCAGTTTCCGAAATCCCCATCACAAACTGCTCCTGCTTTCATTGGCACCTAGGCAACATATCCAAATGTTAGGAAGAAATTATGCATGGTAATTATATAGATCACATTAGACATATTGTAATAACATTTTCAATTTGAACGACACTTTATTCAACACGTGGGCTAAACGACCTCGTCAAAGGTCTTTAGAGTTTGGGCATAGCCATTCCTAATTTAGAACTACTGATCAAAAGAAAGACAACCTATCAGCGGCACTCGCCGCATATCAGGTTGCTTTGAACCAATTAGTATGATTGCTTGTAATAGTTATCACACCTCCTCAGCTGAAGATGCAGAGCATGTTCAGTGGTATGCCGTGGCCTAGATCTTGGACTTTCCCATCCGTAGCCCGTACCACTTACTGCTAGGCCACGTATGGACCGACAGAATGGTATTATAAAAAGCGAAATTTTTTGTAGCTTTCCAGGTTTAATTACTACGTAGTAATTGTAACATTTCCTAGGTTTATATCTAATGTTAACTTTAATAAATTATTTGGAAAAACATAAGATAATATCATTGATAATAATAACACTAAATTATTTAAGCTCAAATTCGTTGCTTCAAAATACTTTCTGTACACTACCATACTGTTATAGGTAATGATTTGTTTGTTTTGAATTTGAATTTTTAATACATTTAATGATGTAATAAATCTGTGATGATGTTGAAACTAAAATGTGCTTATATTCTATGCAGTAAAATATTGATAAATGACTAGAACAAAACCAGAGAGACGAGATCATATAATTAATTCAATGTTTTGAAACCTCTAATCTAAAAACGAAAAGTTTAAAAGCCCAGAACAGGATGTTTTGCTCTCTACAGTATATATGTATTTTTAAGTCAGTCAATAACTAACATTGAACTGTAAACGATAAATTAAAGATCTGGATAAAAATCGCTTTGGATTTGAGTTTAGAGGAATACAACACTGAAGTTAGCCTGTGTTGAGTGAAACAATACCTTGATGCCTTTGTTATTGTGATTAGGTTATTCCTTACAGATGTATGTGTGTTAAATAAATAGGTAGCAAATTTCTTATTAACTATGAGCATCATTTCTATTAACTTATTATTTCATTGTGATATTATACCTTTCTAAGTTTGAGTGCTGCGGGATGATACCTGGCGAAGATACTTCGCACCAGCCATACAAGATTTGGATGGATATGAACCACAATTTCAAGATGACAGGTCCTCAGGTCCCATCTAGCTGTTGTAAGTCAAAAGCGTTGCTTTCTCAGTGTCAGAGGAACCCATCGGAGGAAACCACGTGGATGAAAGTAAGCCATTGTTAGTTTCAGTTAAGAGTCTCTTCATTAAGTTCTAGGGATTTTCATTCATTAAACCTGTTACAAAATTTACGAATACGATAATAGTTATATGTTCAAAAACATTGTTTATGGTGTTGTATTGGCTATGTGTTTATTCAGGTGCCCTGATATCCAACAGATAGAAAACAACAACCATATTATGATGTTATATTGGCTATGTGTTTATTCAGGTACACTGATATCCAACAGATAGAAAACAACAACCTTGTTATAGTGTTGTATTGCTTATGTGTTTATTCAGGTACACTGATATCCAACATATACTACAACCAATTTTATTATTTCATATATTTTACTGCCAAAGTGTGATGAGCGTATTGTAAAAATCTTATAGCGAAGGAAGACAAAGAATCATATTGTTTCAAAGAAATGTTATCCATAGTTGACTTGATGAAGAACCAGCAGAAGTGTGACTAATGTGAACGGATGTAACATATACTACATTAAATATTTTTGTTCTCTTTTAATATGCCTATCTTTTTCATGATGTTTTGATAAAGTAACAATTGCTAAACGAACAAAACAACACATATTTGGGAAAGACAGAGAACAGTTAAATTATCCTTACCTTGACAATAATTTACTGCATGTTGATAAACACAAGGCCGGTGTGTTCGTGGGACAAAAATCTTCTCAACAAGAGAGAAAAAAAATTGTCTTACCTTGACAATAATTTACTGCATGTTGATAAACACAAGGCCGGTGTGTTCGTGGGACAAATATCTTCTCAACAAGAGAGAAAAAAAATTGTCTTACCTTGACAATAATTGACTGCACATTGATAAACACAAGTTCAATGTGTGCGCGGGAAAAAATCCCCTCAACAAGAGAGAAAAAAATTGTCTTACCTTGACAATAATTTACTGCATGTTGATAAACACAAGCCCGGTGTGTTCGCGGGACAAAAATCTCCTCAACAAGAGAGAACAAAAATTGTCTTACCTTAACAATAATTGATTGCATATTGATAAACACAAGTTCGATGTGTGCGCGGGAAAAAAATCCCCTCAACAAGAGAGAAAAAAATTGTCTTACCGTAACAATAATTGACTGCATATTGATAAACACAAGTCCGATGTGTGCGCGGGAAAAAATCTCCTCAACAAGAGAGGAAAAGTTTAACTGGAGACATCCTTGATTAATAGTTTAGTCACTTATTCAAAAAAGAACCTGTACATGCCAAAAATTACATTGTTTTCTGTACTTTACCTGAAAGAAGAAACTCAGAGAAATAACTTATGAAAGAAAATTGTAAAGTAATGGCAACACGACACCTCTTAACGCCATAGTAAGATATTCACACTCAAGGAATAGGAATAAAGAAGTGAAAATTGAAATTTTGTTTCGCTCTGAAACACCTTTTTACTTTTATTCATTAATTTTATTATAACAACTTACCCATGCTTAGAGATTCAAATGTTCAAATTATTTTATTATAACAACTTACCCATGCTTAGAGATTCAAATGTTCAAATTATTTTATTATAACAACTTACCCATGCTTAAAGATTCAAATGTTCAAATTATTTGATTATAACAAATTACCCATGCTTAAAGATTCAAATGTTCAAATTATTTGATTATAACAACTTACCCATGCTTAAAGATTCAAATGCTCAAATTATTTGATTATAACAAATTACCCATGCTTAAAGATTCAAATGTTCAAATTATTTGATTATAACAACTTACCCATGCTTAAAGACTCAAATGTTCAAATTATTTTATTATAACAAATTACCCATGCTTAAAGATTTAAATGTTTAAATTATTTTATTATAACAACTTACCTATGCTTAAAGATTCAAATGTTCAAATTATTTTATTATAACAACTTACCCATGCTTAAAGATTCAAATGTTCAAATTATTTGATTATAACAAATTACCCATGTTTAAAGATTCAAATGTTCAAATTATTTTATTATAACAAATTACCCATGCTTAAAGCTTGAAATGTTCAAATTATTTTATTATAACAAATTACCCATGCTTAAAGATTTAAATGTTCAAATTATTTTATTATAACAAATTACCCATGCTTAAAGATTTAAATGTTTAAATTATTTAATAAAATGATAAAAGTAGTCAGCAAATGAAAATAGTTAATTAATTTGAGATGTTTATAAAATTTAAGGGTAGTTAAATTGTCATTTTGTTTCTTAAAGCTCGTTTTTTTCTTGAAAAATATTACACAGTACCTAGATCTATTTTAAATACTTACAGATATTTAAGAAAAAACTTTTCATATTTTAATTTTAAAATGTTCATACCTTTTCTTAGCTGTTGCAAAAACAAAATGGCAGACATTTATTGAAAACAGACGTAATCTGCGGTATTACAAACCTTAAGTATTGTTTATATGTATTTTAACTTACGAAAAGTAGGTTCGACTATATATGATTGAGTATTCTCACGAGTTTTGAGCGAAAGCTGTGTTAGTAATTTTTTCTTTTACTCCGCGCCGTGTTTAATATGCAACAAGCAGCACCCCTTGTTTACTGAATGCCATTTCAATGATGCCAAATTTGCAGTTGTAAAAAAAGGTTATTAGTAGTCTCTTATCTGTCAACATTTTGATAAAGCGTAGTATTGCCAAACGTTTACGTTGTATCGTTCAGTTTTAATGTTCTATTTTTAGTACGTATCCCTAACAGTATCACTTGTTTGTCTCTTGTATAGGGATGTTATGAAGAACTAAAAGAATTCGTGAAGAGGCATGCTATAATCGTTGGTGGCATAGGCATAGGAATTTCCTGTGTTTTGGTAAGTAATTCCCGATTGAAGGTGGCATAGGTATAGGAATTTCCTGTGTTTTGGTAAGTATTTCTCGATTGTAGGTGGTAAATTCATATACCTATCTTGTGTTTTGGTAAGTAATTCCCGATCGAAGTAAAAGATCAGAAAAATCATTTTCGACTTGAGTTGAGCTCTTATAAAATTATTAGATGCTTCTTGGTTTTGTAATTTAATTTTGACTTTTTTTGTCTTATTTATAGAAACATATTTGATTTCTAATTCCTCTAGGTTTTTGTTACTATTTTTTTTATATTTTAAGATTAGAACTTCTCGGCAATAATTGTCTGCTAAAAACTTCAATATAGTTACATTATATTTCAACTTCCCCTATTTTCAATCTTAAAATTGTTAAATATATTTAAAGTAAAATTGGAAAAATAATTCTATGATAGTGAGTGAAATGTAGACCCAAAAGTTTAAAATTGTTCACCATCTTTAGAGCATATTAATCTTTAAACTATTCTTACTTTTATTTGTTCACATTCTCGTATTTTTGTTGTAATAAACGTCAATGCTAAAGTGAAGGAGTGTTTTTAATTTCTAATAAAATATAACGTATACCAAGGACGTTTTATTCTTCCTTGACTTAAATATGTGTAGTTTAGGACACAGTAAATGAGATTCTCTGTTATTTAGAATAAAACAGATTTGTGAAAACTACGGTTTTGAATTTTCTTTTGTTTACATCCTTAACTTTTTCTTTTCCAGATTTTGGGAATGGTTTTCTCCTGCGCCCTCTTTTTGTTGATAGGAAGCTAAACGTTTTGTTATTGCAGTCAAACTACTGCTACGCCATCTGGGTACTTAGCCACAAACTTTTTATTTTATTTTTATTTTTTGAATTCAAAGAAACTTTGTGTTAGTCAGCCAGAGATTTGATAAAAGTGCCTATATTCAGACTATTTGAAAAACACCAATTCAAATGGTAACTAGTATTTCAGTAATGAAAATCTTGTGGCTTGTTTTTTATGTTATGTTTTAAAATATTTTGTCTGAAAAAAAAGAAGAACCAGCACGACATTAGGAATTGTTCCTTCTGGCAAGAAAACAAATATTTTCTCCAAAGACTCACCACTGGTAACGCCAGTAACTTACTGTTTTTATTTCTGAAAAATGACATTTTTATTTCTCGAGAATGTTCAAAAACCAGCAGGATTTTATTCATTTTAAGTCAACCATATCAGGTAACAACCAACAAACGTACACCAATGATGATTATGATGTGGGCATTTCTGTCCTTGTTCTTCTTCCCTTTACCAGTTTGTTAGAATTCGGCTAGTGACACAAATTTAACTGCGTGCAGCAGCATCACAAACACCAGTCCACACAAGCCGTCACTGAGAGGACCAGAAAAGGTGAAAGTTGGAGGATTCTAGGTCAGGAGGGGGAATATTGTCAATCCGCACTAATCAAACGCAGTCGCCACACAACGAGTAGATGGGATCTGGCAGAGGACATTTTCCAACAGTAGACATATGTTAACTTATTAATACTATCATTCCTCAGTCATTACTGTATCATATATCCAACGTATGGGAGAGAAAATCTTTATACTTTCTGAACATCCCTCATACAATATGAACTACTTATTGTAGTATCATTTAAACTTTTAAAGCAAGCGAGTTCAGTAGCGCTTATGAACTGAATCAAAATGATTCATGAAAAATCTGTTTAATGTCATGACAGAAGTAGTAGTGTTTTTCCAAGGGTATGAAATATGAATGACTTTTGATAACAAAACCAAAAAGTATGATCCCTACTTAATATTCCAAGACAACTATATTTGAAAATTAACATTGGTATTAAACTAAAATTAAGATCTTCCCTGAAGAAAAAAAAATATTGTTATCCTTATGATATTTATCCTGTATATATGGAGCTCCTAAGTAATATACTGCATGACAGTGGATTTCGGTGTTCGTAGTGAAAATATTACAGAATAAATACCAGTTCAAATAAATCAAAATTACTTGTGTAACTACACAGAAAATGTTTAAATCTAGTGTTTGAAAAATACATCTAAATTTGGAACTTACTATTTATTTATATGGCATCATTTATAATAATTATAACGATAGTATGGGGTTTTGAATCTGAAGTCATTTTCTTAATATCTGGAAACAAATGTTGTTATACTGGTAGTTTTACGTACTAAAAAAGTAGGATTATACAACCAAACTTATAGCCTAGTTCTGTCGTTTGGTTGATCTTAAATGTGGAGCACAGCAAATACGCTGCTCATATCATACGACATGGTTAAAATAGTATCATTCATTAGATACGTGTAAAAAACGTAACATTACATTCTTGCCATTGTATGTTTAGAAATAAAGATAAACACTTACATTCCTGAAATGACGTAGATCATTATACTATCAAAAACTGTATGTTTAAAATATTGAAGATGCAGTGAACTTTATTTGATTTGTTACCATAAAAAATGTCCCTTTTTTCACCACGTGATTTCTTTGAAAAAACAACAACTCGAAATTCAAACTGTTCCATTTCATATTTTGATGTTTAAAACAATTGACAAAAATCATTATATTGTTTTATTTCATGATTGTCTTGTCAATCTTTGTTCATTTAGTAAAGTGTTTCGCATTGGCTTTTTTTTTTAAATCGCACTTGATAGACTTTTAAATGTTGTAATGGTTTGTTGACCAAGTTTGTCTGTATGAACATTTTTAGATGCTATAGAATAGTTGGCATGAAGATTATTAGATGTCTAGCTGGCTTGTGCACTTTTTGCATCCTAGCCTCAAAGTACTTAAGCCTTAAGGCCATGCAGGCATGCGCACTGCATGTAGAACTTTGCATTCTGCATGCTATGATGTAAATTCTGTATCATGTAGTCTAGATGTATTTATTAATTGAATAAATGGTTGTACACAAAGAACTATGCCGTGTAATGTTATGGTGTTTTAGTGTAAGTGTGCATCAGTATATAATTACCATGAAAAGTGACACAACCGGTTTTATCAAAGCTGTCTGGCTTGTAACAAAGAGAAAAGCATGCACATAACTACTTCTGAAAGACCACAAAGAACTTAATATTCTTGAATGAACAAATATGGTGCACCACCATCACTAACATACAATGAAATGAAAACGTACTCACGCATTCACGTAGTAAAACCCCTTAAATAGAGAAATTATGTTTAAAATTTTCTCTTTTAATTCCCACATTGTATTTCCAGTAAGAAACGAGCATGAAAACATATGAAGTACACTTTTTGTTTTGTAAGCCGCTAACAACTAGGTTTTTAGCTTTTATACTGGATCTTCCAGCTGTTTGAACCACAAAGGCACCAAATTATCAAACAAGATACAAGTCTCTTCTTTAATGCTAAATTAGAATCATGCACTCAACTAAAAGGACTTCTATGTAATGGAGATAATTTGAAATAAAAACAACGAATATGACAAAGCTGTCTAAAATATTTTCTTGTTGAATTTTCACGCAAAGCTACTCGAGGACTATCTGCGCTAGCCATCCCCATTATTGAAGTGATAGACTAGGAAGAAGGCAACTAATCAGCAACACCCACCTCCAACTCGTGTGATACTCTTTACCAGTGCATAGTAGAATTGACCGTAATATAATAACGCCCACATGAATGAAAAGGCGGACATGTTCGGCAACGGGTTTCGATCCCATTACCCGCAGATTACGAGCCTACTTCCCTAGCCACCAGGCCTGTAAAAGAAAATGATTTGCCAGCTCCAGCGAAGTACAACTTCAAATAAAATGATGATTCAACTATCCTTCTCAAGAGATACAATACCGTCTGTATACAATAACTGTGGCTCAGCGGTAAGTCTGAGGATTTATAACGCTGAAATTTAAGGGTTAAATCCTTGCGATTCGCACAGAGCAAATAATCCATTGTGTAGACTTGTGCTTAAAACCAAACATACCAATAACTGTACACAAAATAATGACTGTTACTTTCTGGCTCTTTTTATCTGAGTATGTTTGTCTTGCCTGAGACTCTTTTTTTTTCAGATATTGAATCACAGCCGAGGGAAAACACGTATAAGATACTTAAAACATTTTATTAGATAACATTGATTAGCATCTACGACTATTGCTTATCATAATAAAAGCATTTTATATGTTTATCTACAATAGAGCGCACGAAATAAATATTATATTTACAAATAATTAAAAACATCACGTTCTAAAATGAAGCTCACAGTTTTTAATGTAAGAAAACACCTCTCGGAGGCGTTCACGAAAATGGCGAAAAAATTCTTTGTTTATATATACATTTGGCAACCTCAAGAACAGAGGCTCGAATTTCTTGATAAACTCTAACAACACCCTGTAGGGAAACTGTTGGCGATGAAGCCAAAATAAGTGATTGGTTGTTGATTTACGAAAAATGCACATTGTACGTAACATATCTCTGTGAAACGAAATGAAACGAGACTCCTCGTTGATTCCACTAGTGTCTCCATACAGCAAAGAATAACTATCCAACAAGCCACTTTCATTGTCGATTAACCAGATGGCGCTAGTTTTCCGAGACTTCACGAGATTGTGTATGGTTTCACGTAAAATTGAAGGTTTCTTTTCTCGATCGGCTGCATCTTGCATGCTTGCCACCCTGTAAAATAACGAGAGTTAAACTTTGTATTTTTATTGATATATATTGTATTTTAAATGTATAAGTTTCATTACTGATCATTTTTGTACGATAGTTCTCACATGCTTGACTCGTTAATAATTAAGTCTTTCAGAAGAAATATGAGGCAGATCAGAGCTAATGTTAAATCTTTAAAACACAACTGTGGTAGCGAAAATTTCAATTTCATAATTTATTAAAGAGTATATTATAAAACTTGAGATTACATCGTAATGGCAATGTTGCCTTTCTTCTTTTTTTTCATATTCAATCTGTTTAGACATCGTGCAGTATATATAAAAGTACGTGTTAAAGAACGAAATAAGTACTATTAAACGTCAACTTACTGACTCAGTTATGTAAGTTGTAAAAGTAAAATCTAAATACACCACTTGGCAGCTTTCCTTAACCATAAAGATTTGTTCTTTTTTTTTTCTTGAATGTTCCAAGGTATTGACTTTGGAAGAAGATTTTGAAATTTGTGTTTATCACTTGAAATTTCAACTAAATTTGGTTTAGAAGATAAGCGATCTAGAACTTTCAACATGTATATTTATGGCAAGTCCTATTACAAGCTTTTCCATCTGAGATCAGTCAAATACAACCCAAGTCTCCAATAACAATAAAGAACGCACCCAAGAGTTCATTCGGATCTTTTTCATCAACGAAAGAAAAGCACTCTAAGATTACTCCCTTTTTATGAAGTTTCTGAAGAATGAAAACAGAAGCACTCTAAGATTACTCCCTTTTTTGAAGTTTCTGAAGAATGAAAACAGAAGCACTCTAAGATTACTCCTTTTTAAGTTTCTGAAGAATGAAAACAGAAGCACTCTAAGATTACTCCTTCTTCTTGAAGTTTTTGAAGAATGAAAACAGAAGCACTCTAAGATTACTCCCTTTTTTGAAGTTTTTGAAGAATGAAAATAGAAGCACTCTAAGATTACTCCCTTTTTTGGAAGTTTCTGAAGAATGAAAACAGAAGCACTCTAAGATTACTCCTTTTTTTAAGTTTCTAAAGAATGAAAACAGAAGCACTCTAAGATTACTCATTTTTCTTGAAGTTTTTGAAGAATGAAAACAGAAGCACTCTAAGATTACTCCCTTTTTTGAAGTTTCTGAAGAATGAAAATAGAAGCACTCTAAGATTACTCCCTTTTTTTTGGAAGTTTCTGAAGAATGAAAACAGAAGCACTCTAAGATTACTCCCTTTTTTGGAAGTTTCTGAATAATTAAAACAGAAGCACTCTAAGATTACTCACTTTTTTTTGAAGTTTCTGAAGAATGAAATTTTATAACAGTACTCAATGCTACTTACATCCAAATTCTGATGCTTTCAAAAAAAAAAGCTCTTTATTTATAAGAGGATATGTTGAACACCCCTGAAAAACCTATTTTTGACCTGGTGCTATCACTGAGAACCATGACATCATAAGCTGAGAGAAAATGAAATAAAATCTGGAGATGTTAAAGAGGTTTGTATGTCCACTTGAATGGCACCTTATACACACAATGGGCTAAAGGGTCAGTCGGAGATGGTTCTGGTTCAATTATAGCCATCTTTGAATTTTGAACTGTGGACCAGAGGGAAGAAAACCAGTTGATAACTTAAAGCGACTACACTTTATCGAATAGCGGGATTGACTGACACTCTTATAACTTACCCAAAGCTCGGGACAGTTGAAAGATAAAATCAAGTTATGTGCGTAAACAAGCGGTTGCGATTGCACCATATATATAAACATCTTTAAAAGGTGTCAAAACAGTCTCGCCTATCTTCAAAATGTATCATTTTCAATGAAAAATACACACTTTTTCGAAGGGACATGAAAAACCCCAGTAAGGCTTTGCTTCTCGTTTCTTTTTTCTTCCAAAAGTAGCACACATTCTTTATAATCTTAGTTTAACCTCGAAGTGCCCCCCAGTGGCACAGCGGCATGTCTGCGGAGTTACAACGCTAGAATCCGGGTTTCGATACCCGTGGTGGGCAGAGCACAGATAGTCCATTGTATAGCTTTGTGCTTAATTAGAAACAAACAAATAACCTCGAAGTATAATCATACTGAAAATACAAAAATCCCCGCAGCAATTTAATTAAACCCCCATAAGTTCCATACAAGAAGCAAGATAAAGAAACCTGCAGATGATGAAAACCCAAAATTATACCCTCATGGTTATTAAAACAACAAGTGGGAGAGGGAAAATGGTAGTAAAATTCATCAAAATAACTACGAAAAACACATAAACACGGATATATGTATATATAGCTTGAAAGAAGGTTCTCATCCTTAAATCATTTAACAATTTTTTAATGCTAATTTATTCTCGTTTTTGTAAGCTGAGTCAAAATCAAAACAATGACTATACTAGAATAAGAATAATATAATCGTGTTAAAATTGTCACTTTCCGTTTTCGATTTTACAGACAGACTTACAGAAACAAAAATCCGAGTTTTTCTGCTATGGAAAGTCTGGTTTGTTTGTTGAATTTCGTGTAAAGTTACTCGAGGGCTATCTGCGTTAGCCATCCCTAATTCAGAAGTGATAGACTAGAAGGAAGGCAGATAGTCAACACCACTCACCACCAGCTCGTGGGTTACTCTAATCGAATAGCGGGATTGACCGTAACATTATAACGCCCCATAACTGAAAGAACGAGCATGTTCGGTGATAGGATTCGAACCCTCGATCCGCAAATTACGAGTCTAGTGCCCTACCCACCAGACCATGCCAGACTCAGAAAATTTAGTTATTTATATGCAAAAATCATATATTAGGGGACTTGTTTGTTTGTATTTAAGCATAGAAACACAGGAATCGAACCCCAATTTTCTAGAATACTAGACAAAATTCAGCTTTACAAAAAAGATAAGGCATCATTAAGTAAACTTAATATCCTGATGCACAGACTTTATGATATTGAATGTAAAAACAACCTAAAATACTAACTAATATTATTTTTGCTTTACCTGTCATAGTTTCCTGTAACATAATCGAAGACGATAAGATCACTCCACTGAGCTAGTTCGACAAGCTGTTTTTTTCGCAATTTCCGAAGTTCTGGAGACTTCCGGGATATCACTTCTCCTTTCTCTAAAGCACGAATAAGGATTTCTGGCATTCTCTCCCTGCAACGTACATGAACGTGTTTCTTTTAACGAAAGAACGAATGAAATTTAACTTCCTAGAACTTTAATTATTTTAAGAAAGTTAACTGAGAAAAGCCTATGTTTTCTGCACTTTTCGTGCTATACTTATCCAACTAATTTGTGCTAATTCGATTGGAAGTTTGAACTTGCCTACTAAGAGCTTCAGTCCAACGTATCATCGTCTTTAGGGTAATTCCGCGTGCTTATAATGGATCTTTTGTTAAAAACCAAAACTAAATCTGAAAATAAATGTTGTTGTGGATGAACTTAATTCAAATGTATATTAATCAAAATCAGTTGTTGTTTTTTGTTGTTTTTTTTTAGCTCAAAGCTACACAATGCTATCTGCACTCTGTCCATTCCGGGTAACCACCGGGAGACATCAAAACTAAAAAAAATCACATTAACTATCCCAAATTTGTCGTATTTAATTGTATTAGTCTTTGTACAAAAATTCCTATTAACATTTAATTTTAATCAAAATATAAAATTGTAATTATTCAGCTTCTCATTTCGAGAAAACAGCATTTAAAATTAATTATCTACACTAATATTGCAATAATATTGTTGATTGCATTATTGTAAAATTTCCACTTATTTTTATGTCATTTACATTATGGAAACTTTCTGACATCAGAAAAAATAAAATATTGAAAGTCTAAAATACTCAAATACTCCAAACAGCATATCCAGCCTAATTGATATTCGTACTTAAAACATACTGAATTATTCCAGATACTTGTTAGTTTATGAAATCAAAAACTTATAGTTTGATGATTTAATACGCTTTATTTAAGATTTATTTACAAACTCTAAACCTTATTGTGTGTTCCACTTATTTTTTAGAAAACAATCATCAGGTCAAAATAACTGTAACAAAAAAGTAATTATAGAAAACGAGAAAAAAAACAAACGGTTTTATCTTTTTAAATCGGATCTCACCGTTCTAAATAATCAATCCATTGGATGAGGGCGATAGTTGAGTTCAATGCCCATCCTGATCGCAAAAGCGTGCTGGAAACATTTAAATTTTTCCACTGTTGCCCGACATCCGGGGCTGAGAGCGTTACCGCAGGAACATTATGTATGCCGAGAAGACGAGATAAATAAAAGGACAAAAGTTCCCCTGAAAGATAAACATTTTTTTATATATAATATGTAATATGGGAAACGTATTATGCAGGGTAAAATTCTGTTTACAGAAAAAAAAGGCTTAATGAAATCTTTGAAGCAATTCAGGACATTTTTTCATTGTATCAAACGAGCTTTAGTAAGATTTGTATTAATATGTCGAATTTGTGGTCAAACTACTAAAACTCTGCCACCGCCACTGACTAGAGAGAAGGCATCCAGTCAGCAGCAATCTGTAACCCCTCATCTACGATAATGGGTTGACTGTAACACTTATAACACATATTATTAACATGCGGAGAATACTTTGTGGCATCCCACGAATTCGATCCCGGTTCGAAATCCAGAGCTCTACCACAGGGTCAACTTGCGCCTTCGATGTAAAATAAGGTTTAGATTTTTATTTAATATAAAGAAACATTCATCCTCCTTCCATGCTTGCATATAATCATTCGGCTTCCTTCTGATTATGCAATTAATGTCCATTTTTGTCATCCTTATCTTCTGTTTTTAAGTCGTCTGTAGCGTTAATGGTATTTTAGTTAAATTACCGTTTCTGAAAGTGAAATTTTCTAACATCAAGTTTGTTTGTTTGTTATGGACTTCGCGCAAAGCTACACGAGGGCTATCTGCGCTAGCCGTCCCTAATTTAGCAGTGTAAGACTAGAGGGAAGGCAGCTAGTCATCACCAACTCTTGGGCTACTCTTTTACCAACGAATAGTGGGATTGACCGTCACATTATAACGCCCCCACGACTGAAAGGGCGAGCTTTTTTGGTGTGACGGGGATTCGAACCCGCGACCCGTAGATTGCGAGTCGAGCG